GTCTTAATCGGTCTGTCTGGAAGGAAAATGTGCTTCGGACAAATTGTGTCATCGGTCTGTGCTGACGGAACATCTGTTTGGAATAACTCGTGTTTTTCCAATCGCTCGCTATCTGTGAAAGCCGTGGAATAAATAAATCATACGCTCAATTGGCAAGAATTACCATCATTTGTAACCAGCCGTCTTTGATGAACTTCCCTCGCTAATCGTCTTTGCATCTGTCGCTCATATGCCAGCGTGCCGGATTGTCGTCGTGAACATTGTTGTCCAAATACACAAAAACCAAGCCTCTGTTTAATTCCTGCTATTTTTCAGAGCTCACCCCGGTTGTGGAAACTTGGTGACATTTTCTCAATTTCTCTTTATATCTGTTCATGGATTCCTGTTTACTATGAGGTGTGGGAGAGAGTCTTCCAAGATACCCATTAGGTAAGTTGCTTGTTTGTTGTCCTCGATACGCCTGCGCTCAGTTGTCACTTGGTCTTTGAGGGGAAATTCGACGGAGCATCTCATAGAATGGAATGGATAACTGAGTTCTTGCCAAGTATGACGCGTGACAAGGATCGACGCGGTTACGCAGTTTTCACCGTGACCTCTCGGTCTAATGTGGCAACGAGTTTTATCGGGGCATGCCACGGCTTCTTCATAACACCTTGACACCGTTGATGTGTCGGTCGGCCGTTGTTGAGTTATTTAAGGACGGTTTCTGCGCAGCGAATCCATAGCTACCGTCACGACAAGATTACGTAATAAACCAAGTATTTTTTTATTCCACTATTTTAATAAACCAGATTTTCCCCCATGTTTCGGTATTTGCTTACTCTGGTCGGTCAACAGCGCTGGTAATATCAGTATATTGGACAGCGCGGGTCTTGTTAACTGTATTGTGATGGGCAATGGTGCGTACCTAGTCTTTTTTAGGCCGAAATCCATGCGTACCTATATGCTTTACATGCGTACTTCAGATGTGATGGAGAACGTTGCAGCGTTAACGTTACATATTCACCTAAGTGATGGGATAGTACTGTTATTCGTGGCACTCATGATCTCGTGCACATACATTCCACCCACTTGTATTACCTGGTTGCGAGAGGTTCACAAGCGCTCGTGTCAGATTTACTTTATAAGGCGATACGCCGCTGCGAAAGTAGACGGGGGACCAAGCTCAGTGTCGTTTATATGTGTTTGAAACTGAACTTACGCGAATTTTGCGTTTATTTCAATGGATAATGGATGACAACTGGATGCGTGATTTGTGATACCTGCTAGCGCGAAACACGGTACATATTATTTTCGTTTCAAATGATATATGTATGACAGGGAGTACGTGATCATGGTTGGGATGTTCTTCGCATCAAGCGTGTTGAACAACTACGCGCTGAACTTCGGCATCCCCATGCCTCTTCATATGATCTTCAAGTCGGTACGCATGCCATCTGGCAACCAAGGGCCGGCCGCATGCCCTGACCTCATCTCTGGGGGCACAGGATTGTCTTAAAATGCGTGTGTTTGTGCACGTGCGTGCGTGCTTGCGTGTGTATGGGTGTGCGTGATGTCAAAACTCCCCTTAAATTCCGTCTGTTATACATTGCCATCAGATTAATGTTTGCTTCATCTGATTAAAGTTCATAGTTTATAGCTGAAGTAAATCTAAACGTCATTGGTATTTAATGGCATGGAAGGTTGTCTGCCAGTTCTGTTCGTTGCTGCATGCAGGGGTTTTCTGCATACCCGCATATGTCACAAATGCTTACACTTTCAAGTTTGTTTTTTTGTCGTGTATGATAGCTGAAGCAGTTTGTCATTTGAGCTTACCAGCCCTGACGGCAGCTGGCCCATCCCAGTGTTTATAAGAGCTCTCAGCTGTCCGAATGTGCTAATAGATTACCACCCCCAGCCCCCCCCCCCCCCCCTACCCACATAACATCCATCACTGTGCCTCTCGTTTGTGTCATGTCCATGCCACAGGTTGTGCCGCGACTGTTGGTTGTTTCTGTATGCATTGTCTCCACTTTTTATATGTTAAGAAGCTGCACAGCTATGAAGCGACCAGTGTAGCACTATGCCTGCGTCGGTGCTCTTTTGCATACGTTTGATCTGATATGCAGCCCCGTTGCGTTTATCTGGTAACATGGAAAGGATCAATACCGCCTTTGGTGGGTGATCAGCATTCGTTTCGGCATCACGCTTCGTAATTCACGAGCATTTATGCTTGCGTGTAATTCACGATCACGAGGTGTGTTTTGTGATCTTCACGAGTTTGCTTGCGAGGCCGGATATTGAGACAATTACACATGCAGGCACATCCGAGATACCCAGAGCCGGAACGGCTACTGTTCTGTTTTAGGGCTCTCTTGTCGCCAACTTGCTGATGGGTATGGTCGTGCTCAAGCGATTTTACCGAAAGCACAAATATATTGCGGTCGTGCTCATCACCCTGGGCATTATCCTGTGCACTCTGGCATCTCAGGTGAGCTATATATTGCGGTCGTGCTCATCTCCCTGGGCATTATCCTGTGCACTCTGGCATCTCAGGTGAGCTATATTCCAGAGAGTGTGAGTGATCAGGCGGTGCTGCACTCCCGTGCGCAACATGCGCCATGAGTCCAGATAGTGTTCGATCAGCGGGACCTGTTCTGGGCCTCTTTGTGTAGACTTGAGGGATAGGTGCATCTTGTGTGTCTTAAGTTTGAAATGAAGCAGGTTGAAGGCGTCTGCCGTTGCGCGCTGGTGTCTATGCTAAGTTTCTCAGTATTTTACTGTTTTGCGCAAGCCGTCACGGCCCGACTCGGACCTGCCAGTAGTCGCGCCTGCGATCGCGTTGTCGAGTGTCTCATCGCTGCCCGGGCGCTGGCGGGCCGGTGTCTGGCCGCCCGCCAGCCGCGCCTCAAGCCGCGCACACCGCGCTGACGGGCGCTGTGGGCTGGCCAGGCTGTGAAGAACGCCAAGAAGGCGGACGCGGCGGCGACGGTGGAGCAACCGGCCGGCCTGGACCGTAGCAGTCCGGTGACGCTGGCCGTGGGCGCCGGCGTGCTGACCGCGGCGCTCCTGCTGTCAGCCCGGCTCGGCATCTTCCAGGAGGTGCTGTACAAGACCCACGGCAAGCACGCCCAGCAGGCCCTCTTCATCACGGTAGGCAGGAGAGAGCGAGAGCCGCTCGCCGCCGGGATGGCGACGGGCAGTCCTGGTAGCGCGGCGGCCAGTGCGTCAGTCGTGTTGAAAAGCTGCTGTCAGACGCGGTCGGATCTAGATACATTCCGCGGGTGCGATTCACGTGTAGGGTGTCATGTGTGATGTCGTATGCGCGGCCATTTTCTGGTGTTCCTGTATAGGGTGTCTGTGGGTGTGATTGTGTGTGTGATTGGGGATTTACGACGCATTCAGCTGCCTAGGCTATCTGGCGTCGCCTGCCTCTCACCCTGGCAGGAAGAGCGGGCACCGCGGGGAATCGAACCCCGTACCTCTGGTTTCCCAGACGCGCAGTGCCAACGCAGACGCGCTAACCAAGGGTGTCTGTGGGTACAGGCACCACGTGCGCTCATGCCGGAGTGCGGAGCACCTGAAACGTTTCATATGGTAACGGCATTTAAAATATATTGTGCTTGACGGTTAGTGCATGCACGCCTGTTTGCGGCTGCATCTGGCTAGCTGATCGAGCCTTACATCCAATCCGCAAATAGAGGGCGCTCGCACCGACCCTCACAGAGGGCGCCAAGACAACGCTGACTCGTTTTCATGGGTGCCCGTTGCCGAAAGCAACGTCCGAACAATGATCTCTTCTGTTCAAATGCGGCTGCCACAAATTGTAGTTCCTTGCGCATTGTATACGGAAGGTATTTGCCGGGCCGAAAGTACAATTACATATGGGTATTGTCTTGCACAATTCAGCCATCAAGATGTTGGCCTCGATGCATGCAGTACCCAGGTTGAAACGTAGTTTTTAACATTCGATCTGTGTGATTGGCTTCACTCGGGCGTAAATCTCAAAGCTGAATGGGCAGCGTAAAGTTTGCATTTACTTGATCTAACTCACGCCAGTGGCATGTAAAACTAAAGTGAAATTCATGACAATAACATCGCGGCATGGATGTTCACTAAGTTCACGACCCACTTTCTGAACTATCCATCGTCCAAGAGAACTAATTTTTAACAACAGTCACAGAAAACAACCTTACAGCGAAAGCGCTCACCCACGCCACGGCGAGGTAAAGGGCCATCGTGTGTGTTATCCGGCTGTATGTGCTGAGTCATGTTCTGGTGTTGCCGGCAGCACTCCCTGCCGCTGCCAGGCTTCCTACTGCTGATGCCGGACATCATTCACCATGCGCGGCTGTTCTCTGAGTCGGAGGCCGTGCTGGTCGGCACGCTCGAGCTGCCCGTCCCCAGGCTCTGGCTCTGCCTGCTCTGCAACGTCATCACGCAGTATCCTTTTGTCGAGGGGTCGCCGAAGCAGGCGCATGACTGCTTTTCCATCGTCAGTAATTTGCGCTATGCTCGGCATACCCAGTTGCCGTTTTTGTAAGTAATTCCGTTGTCATGTTTTCTGTATGCACGTGGACCATGCGGCTCTCAGGCACGCCGTGTGCCGGTAGCACTCATTCAAAACGCAAAAGGTATTCCACTTGTCCAAAGACCGTTTTTGCCGTGTGTCCGGTGCTTTTCCCGATGTCATGATGCCACGCTTGGCGTGGGTGTCGCCGTGCTGTCGGGAAACCGCAGTTTTGGAATTGTGTTAGATTCCTCTACGGTGCACAGCCAAGTTGGCCTTGAGCTGGAACGTGCCAAAGTAGTGCAAATGTCATCGATATCACTCAACGGCCGTCGATCCGCCCTGCGTTTTTTGAGACCCCGCCTGAACTACTGCGGCATCCACAACCCTGCGGGCTCTCTGACTGGCCCATGCACCATGATTAGCGTCATTGCCGCCGCATAATTTTTGGCACCATCCCCCAACGGTGGGTTATATCTTCTGCCTGCTGTTTGGGTATTGTCCTCAGTGTTGTATGTCTTGTACGGCGGCTTGCACCTCTGATTCCTGCGCCGGAGTTGCGTCTGCGATGCAGATTGGTTCCTTGTCCAACCCGCGTCAGTGCCGCCTAACCATGCATTCCAGGGGGCGTTAACGCTGTCCCCATGGCGTGCCCATCCCGCTGCTTTCCAGCCTGTGTTTTTCTAGTGTCGTATCGATCCGGGCGTGATGTCCTTGACCGGGATGGCGTGTCAGATACGTGTGCATCAGCTCCGTGTTCCGGCTGACCGAGCAGTGCACCTCGCTGACGGTGACGCTGGTCGTGACGCTGCGCAAGTTCGTCAGCCTGCTCTTCTCCATCTGGTACTTCGCCAACCCGTTCGTGGCGCAGCACTGGGTGGGCTCGGCGCTCGTGTTCGCCGGCACGCTGCTCTTCACCGACCCGTGCGGCGCGTTCGCGCCCAGCGGCCTCATCGTCGAGAAGTAGCGCCGCGCGCTGCACCAGTACGGATGGTGCGCGCACTGCTGGGTTCGGACGTCGGGCCGGGCGTCGACGCTACGGCCTGGATGCGGAGATGGTCACCGCATCGCGTTTAGGCTGGCTTGCGCTGTTATGCTCTTCTAGGGCACAATTTGTTTGTGGTGTTACATGTAATCGATTTATGATTAATGCCAGTACATAATCCTCATGGAAATCTTGGGCTTGTCCTGTTCGTGTTTCCTATGGTCTCTGATTTTGTATTGCTTGACTCAAAGTGTTGTAAGGGCTCACAGAGCTCGTAGCTGTTTCCACTCATCATTGTTGATGTTCACCTTTCATAGCGGGAGCGTTCTGGTGTCACGGGTGCGATGATGGTTTTTGCCTGAGTCTAGGTTGGGGACGCTTTAATTGTGTGCGGGTAGCTGCGTGTTGTATTTGCAGTTTGATATGGTGCGGGGACGCCTTTTCTAGCAGCTCTTTGCAGTGATCGTGGCGTAGGTAGGTTCTCACGCACACTCACAATCTGTTGTTTTGACCATGTTTTACAATACATGCAAAAAACCAATGCGAATGGCAAGGACCGGGAGGGACGTCCAATCTTTGATAAGTTGTCGACACTCCGGTGCCAGAATTGATGCTCATCTGAACCGGCGGTCTCCTCACGCTGGACACCGGTGCATGTTCTGCGTGAACCGAGAACTCGAGGTTACCAGAGGTGCGGGGTCCGATTCCTCGCAGAGCCCGCGCTTCTTGCGAGGGTGTGAGGCGGAGGACGGAATGTAGCGCCAGGAGCTGGGTACCTTGTAAAGCTTCGATGACACATGAATTATCCATGCGTGCGCCTGACACGTGAGCGCGCAAATAATTTTTAACACATTTAAAAAAAAATTTAGCCGCGCGCTGCTAGCATGCGAGGCGTACCACTCCTGGCCATCCCGGTGATCTTGCTAGTCGATGGCTCTAAGCGCTGACCTGTCCCGGAGCCTCCACATCGGCCATGGACCACATCGGCCATGGACCATGATGATATACCCTTGCCCATCTCCACATTCCCTTCACCTAGCTCGCCCGCTTCTCGAAGCTGGCTGGTTTGATCACAGCGATCTCGGCGTTCTTGGCAGAAGTCTTGTCATACCGACACTCTGCCCACTTCAAAGTGTTCAGGTCGCTGTTCAAAGGACGTCACGAGGTCGGCATAACTTATCATCATTGCGATGATGTCTGACTATGCAGGCCGGAAGACGCGCTTCACCCGTACAGAACACCGACTGTCGACGTTGGAGAGTGGGTGTCCGGAATTGAGACTGCACCAACTCCGATCGAGGCGGCGATCCATCACCAGCTCTGTTCGAGTCGGCGATTCATCGCCAACTCCGATCGAGGCGACAGTCCATCGCCAACTCCGATCGAGGCGACAGTCCATCGCCAGCTCTGATCGAGGCGACAGTCCATCGCCAGCTCCGATCGAGGCGACGATCCATCACCAGCTCTGATCGAGGCGACAGGTCCATCGCCAGCTCTGATCGAGGCGACGATCCATCACCAGCTCTGGTCGAGGCGACGGTCCATCGCCAGCTCTGGTCGAGGCGACGATCCATCGCCAGCTTGATCGAGGCGACACGCACTAAAATACCTAAAATATGCCATACCACCACAGGACCCCGTTAGACATTCGACTCCTCACCGACACAAGGGCTCTTTCATTGATTCAGGGGCCCCGATCAACGTGAATTGTGCGCCCGGCTTTGTCCCTGCTTGGGAAATGGACCTCAACGCCCAGAACGACATGGAGCCGACTGTTCGGTAATGGCAGTGCCAGACCGGCATGGAGGCTGTCATCAGCTTAGGGGTCCTAATGTACACAAGGGCCCTCCGGTTGTCATTCGAGGGCCCAGCCCCGTGGGCCGGCGCCTTATAATGCGACCTCTGGCCAGCCCATTAGGCCCTTAAGCCGAACACTGGATTATAGGTCCTGGAAGGTCTGAAGGACCCTTTGCAACCTAATGAGGGCGGCACGTGTCCCCTGTGCCCCCACCTGCGCCCCAAGTAAAAGGCAGAACATAGGCAGCATAAGCGCGTTTGTGCGAGTACTGCCACCGAGTTTTGCGAGCCCGGAGATGGGCTAGGATTGACTGTGCGTTGCCTTAACTCATCCCTGCGCGAGCAGCAGGAGTGCAGAACGCAAACATTCTATGCAGATATCACCCCAGTGTGAGGCCCACCAAGCCCAGCTTGGGAAGTTGCTGACGCTCGCGTGTGGTTGTTTCTGCGCGCTGCGGTCAAAAGTCGCGAAGATGCAGAGGGACCTCCGAAGTTTGGTGTTTGACGTTCGTCTCGGCGCGCGCCACGCTGGTGGCGGCATTCAGGACGTCGCCCGACAGGTCATGTCAAGCAAATAAACGGATCTCGATACTTGGATTTCGTCCGCTATGTTTCATCCAGGACTACCAAACGCACATCGGGCAACGTTGGCGCAGGGTTAAATTTGTTTCAAAGGCGGCGACCATATAGGAGGACATGACAAACAGTCGAATGGAAGAAGGCTTAGCGAAAAAAGTTAAAAAGGATATAGGTCGCCTTTTTCCGCATTTTCAACCATTTTGACCGCTGCTAGTTTTACTAATCCGAGCTGACATTTATCCCTGTCGCCAGTCTGTCTTTCAAGGCATTCCGTTTCCACATATATCTTGTCGACTTCTGTCCTTTGAGTTTTCTTTTCCGGCCTTCATCCCTGTTGACAGATAGTAAGTAGATTCAAATTAAGTGCATTAAACGCAGTCTATGCTCGTAAGCCATGACCCCAACGCCGTGTACGCCGTTTAGCACAGTGTCAATTCCGAGACAGGGCAATTTTTCTTCAGTTGTCATCTCCTGGGTGAGGGCCGGTGGACCAAAATCCCGCCGAAGTCAGGCTTGAGCCAAGGACTACGCAACTACACTGGCATACACTATCCCTTGTGCCACCGGGGTAGTCGAAACGGATACGTATATCGATTTGAAACCTGCCATGAGCGTGTATGATTATTGTCTCTATTAGATACGTTACAGTACTTGGGTATTTGTTTCACAAATTTAATTCTTTAATTTTTCCACCACTCTTCTTTTATCTGTGTACTAGAGACGTGACCTTTCTTTCAATACGAGAGCACGGTTTTGTTCATCTGGCTTACATCCAGTTAAGTTCCCATATTTTCCTGGATTGTTCAGGGCAAGAACTCGCTTCAGTTCGCAATTTATATTTAGTTTGGTCGAATTACATGCTAGCTGTGGCGCCGCTACGCGGTCAGTGGGGGATGCTGAGCACCGCGCTTCAATTTTGACCCACATGCAGCTTCCTCGCTCTGTCTCGGTGGAAACTATTGCCGTCCATCGGTCCACATGCAGCTTCCTCGCTCTGTCTCGGTAGAAACTATCGTCGGGCATCGGCCCACATGCAGCTTCCTCGCGCTGTCTCGGTGGAAGCTATTGTTGGGCACCATTATCGGTTCGTTGGTCGACGATGGTCGAAGCCAGGTTTCAGTACCGACGTCGAGTCAACGTTATGCGGCGTCTGATGTTAAACGGGCGGTAGCTTAACAGTGGTAGCTGACCCGAGGACCGGAAGCTGAAGACGGACTGCATTCCACACTCGCGTCCGACACGTTCGACGCGGCTCGTGTTATTTTGGTGGTCGTCGTTGCCGCACGATTACGGCTATCGGTATAGGTAACTGGGACCAATCGTGAGTTATCGAAAATGCTCCATTACATGTTCATGTTGCATTGGAGATCGGCACATTTCGAGAGCTCTGCAAAGTGTAGACAGCAAAGGAGTATGCGTCACGTTTTGGAGGGCTGAAATGCGACTGGCCTGTGTTGATTTGCAGATCAGACCCTGATTGTGGCAAAATAACACAAATTAATGGAGACCCATTGTAGCATACGGTACCTTAGGCATCACTGAATAATAACAAAACAGCCAGATAATAAAAGACCAGAGTTAAGGAAGACATGCATCGATTCATTATAAACACTTGGCAAACAACACACACAGAAAGTGCTCAAGGTACACACGGTACGAACGCAGAGATCAAAGGGTATGACCAGCTCAGGACAGATGCATCCAGCTGAAGACGACCTTGCACTTCTCATCTCTGTTATCGCTTTTACCTGATGATAAATCCTTACTGACCTTCGTTAAACTTGGCGTGATTTATAGCTACCGTTTGCAATGTATTGCATGCGATGAAACACGAAAGTGTTCGGGAGTCAAATTAGGCGATGGGAGGCCAGTGGCCCCCCCAAAGAATGCAGTCGAACTCCGGGCCTGCGCGTCGTGAATTTTCTTCAGCATCTTCAGCCGTGTGTCGTTGATCGTCAGCAAAAGTGTCCGAGCACCGCTCCACCAGTAGGAGCGAGGTTCGTGTCGGCAGGGGCAGTGTCAGTGGGCACAGTTGTGCCGGGCAAAATTTGGCCGTTCCACTGGGCAGTGACTACGGTTTATGAATCTTCGCATTCCTGTGATTACAAGTGGGTGCCCCTAGTTGAGCCACTGATGGTAAGTCCAGCCATATAAGTCATGGCAAGTACCGTGAATGCTTTTTCGGGCACTACTGTCCCATAACTTCTGTGAAAAAGCTGATTGCTTGATTTCCACTGCAGAACACCGTGGGTTGGCTCGGTTAGAGATCGGTTTGCACAGGTGCCTCAGAGTGGGTGGGCCGACACAGAAACGCCAGTTAGGTTTGATGAGGTAATCAGTTCGAACGGCGTCTACATGTTACCGTAGCAGAAGGCCGCATTCGTTCGGATTTTTCTTTAATCGAATGCCATGTATAACGGCCATGTAGGTCATACGGCTCTGTTGGAACACGGAAATAATACAAAAGATTGTTCAGCGATTGGCGCGCGTAATTTTCCCTGCATCTGAAGACGAAAGTAAAAGCGCAATGGCACGAGCTACACAGACAGATGATTCTAAATGATTCTGGGCGAGCTCAGGTCTCAGCAATTCCCGTTATACTGAAAAAGAATTCGTACAACTCTTAGTCTATCTTCGTCTCGTAAGGTTTTGAACTCTTGAATTGGTTCCGCGATAAAGTGTGGTGGATGGCGATGGTCTGCAGAAAGCTTCGCGCCTGTCTGGTGGCTTTGTTGGTAGTGACCCGGCGGGTGCCCCGGAACATATCTGAGTGACTCTGTCATGACCATCCAGCCCACATCACCGCCTGTCACGTTCGTCGAGCCTCCGTTGTCTTCTGTAGACGATTGCTTTTCCAAACGCACGGCTTACATGGTTGCGACCCGTTTATTGAGCGCCACGTCAGCGATCGCAGTGATCGTATTGACGCCAAGCAGCGTACCTCCAAGAGGAAATCAAACTCGGGCCCAACATGGGAGTTTACATCGTCATTTACCGGACCACGTTTCACCCTGTCCATATGACTGACATGCCTCATAACGGCAGTCCTACTTATCTACTTGTGCGAGACTGAAAAGTAGGCTTTGCTCTGGTCCGTGTCCGGCTTCACCCCATCATCGCCAGGCTTCCACCCCACGGGGCAAACTGGAACAAAACCAAGCGCACTGCGTGTTGACCAGGGGACAGGCGTTACACAATCAATGTCGTCAAAACGTTGGGTTTCGTGGCCAGGGATGGTACGCACACTCAGGATGTTCTGTTTTTCAAGTGGTAGGCAAATTATTGAAGAAAACAGATGTCAGAGCGATGCAACTCTATACTAGAACATTTACTTTGTTAACTTCTGGAAGAATGGTTAGGTCTAAAATCGACATTCTAGGCGCAAGCATTGTTGACAAACATGTCTGCCATGAATATGATGTAATAGAGGCGTCTTTCCTGAATCTATTGTTACAGAGGCGTCCTTAATGAGCACATATTTTTTCTGGATAAATGATTTCGCTAGAAGCACGATAAGAAATGAGCGACCATTCCCAAACCATCCAACGGAATGTCTGCCAATCTTACTATATATATATATATATATATATATATATATATATATATATATATATATATATATATATAATTTTTTGGCTCAGTACGTTGCGTGTTACGCGATGAACAATGATGCAGCCATGATTAGAACGCATCAAGAACATAAGAAAAGCACACATAGGCAAACATTATCCTCGATGTTAAATTGCTAGAATTTCTTTATGGACATCCCATGGCTCTGGTGGCCACAACAGCTGGCGGCAGGCGGTTCCAGGACGAGGCGTCATGATATGGAACCGCCCAGCGCGGCAAGGACAGTCAGAAAGAGGACAGCTCCAACGAGCCGGCCATCGTCACTGGACACCCTAGGTCAGCAAAAATATCATCCCTCGACCTTAACAACTCCACCTTCATATCTGCCCACTCGTGAAGATGTTGGGAGTTACCTACGGTCGTGTCCTGCCTTGGGGGTAGAAAAACAGATAAGTCAAAAAGTACAATTTCATTCTGTTTTGTCTATATTGATATTAGATTCGTTACCATTTTACACCCCTAAATTCCTCATCGGAAGCCCATGTTCTTCCTCTCATCCTGAACTGCCCCTTAGTCTATAGTGCGTGGCCGCTGCCTGCCATCTCAGCCGAGTGTGAAAGGTGATTTTCACGGCCTGGGTGATCTTGCGGGCGCGGGGCCGGTATCATACTTCATCGGTCACGGAGCCGCTGAGTCGGCGCGATATGGGTGACCTTGTCACACACCGTGCGCCACCGCCATTGGCGCCTTCAGGGCCTCAAATGACCCCTGCGCCCCGGTGGCGGTCCGGTCGCTGCCCACCCCTCGCACCACTGTCAAGGTCGATGGTGACCGCCGCCTCGAGACTGCCCGCTCTCCAGCTTAGACAGCCGGAAAGACTGTGTTGACGACTATTGGGTTGGCGCGCAGGGCATTGCTGTACTGTGCGGCCTCGTGGGGTCACCTGACGCCAGCTGTTGTGGCCTCCCAGAGTCGTGCTGCGCTCATGTCTAGACTTTATCATGTTGACATAGAGGATAGTGTTTGCTTTTATGTGATCTTTTTTAAATTATTGATGATTTCATCACTTTACTTCTTAGTTTTGATGGTGCAGCATGTAGCCTACTAATTCGAACAAACATTAAGTCATGGATATTGAATAAATCGTTATGAAAACACAATAATGATTATCATGATGGTGACAGCCGCAGTCGAGATTTCTTCCGTGGCAAACTGCGATCACACGGGGTGATTTGAAAACTTGTTGAGTGATTGCAGCAGAATCAGGAAAAATTCCTTGAGATGGTGCGCGAATGGTCGCATGTAATAATACCTTTGCAACATCATCACGATAAAAATGTTCGTGATATCCTGGATATACAAACTGCTCAACAACGTCCATAACTCCTTAACAAGGTTCCTTGAGTAAATACATAGCGTTAATAGTATTTATGTAAGTCCTTGTAAGAAGTGCCTTTATGTAAGCCTCCACGCAACCATGCCAGGGGAGTCCAATATAAACACAGCCATTCTGGCATCGCTGCGAGCAGCCGATCGTTATCGGACGTCGGCCTGAAATGCGTCGCAATACCGGCAAGCGCGATACCGGCCTGCCCGAGCCGCCCGACCTGTACGGGCCGGGCCGGGTGGCGCCGGCGACCACTCACCCTCGCCGTGGATGTCGACGAACTGGTAGGCCTGGACCAACCGCAGCACCTCGTCCACCGAGCGACCCACGCCGATGTCGTTGACGATGATCTGGCGCAGCACGCCCTCCGTGTCAATTATGAACAGGCCTGCAACAGCAACAGCGCCGAACTGTGTTTGTGAGCAGCCCCACAGTCATGGAGAACGGGCCTGCGACAGCAGCAGCGCTGGAGGCTGTTTGTGAACGGTCGCGCAGCTGAGGCGCGACGTAGTGCATCAGTTGTCGGCGTACTCCCACTGAGAGACCGTTGGGAGACGCTGATCACCAATGAGAGACGCCGCGCCGGCCAGCCAGGCAAGGTCGATTTAGGCGGGTCATTACCACGGCGATAAAGTCCATCCGTAGTATAAAGCAAAGTGGCAATACCAGCACCAACAATGGACTGGGTGTGCGATGACTCATTCTCCTTGCGATGGTAGCCGAGGAACAGACTGGTGGAGGCAGAGGTAGACAATGGTAAATGAGGGACATTCTTAGAGCTGGCGTGTTGCTCAACCGGGTGAAGCGGCCGTTTATTTGCATGGAAAGCTACGCGTGACATACATGTCATGGATGGAAAACGGGCTTTGCAACGGACTCTGGGTATGATGTCACATTCCACTAAGATATGAACAACTTATTCCATCCATCCTCTATGGTTGCAGAGCCTTTAGTGTCCAGCGGCTGCGGATGCCAGACCAGCTGAATCGAAACTAGCCGAAACGTTTGCTTCTCGAATATGCTCATTTTCGCAGCTTCACCACATCAGGTTTTCAGGGAGACGCGCTGGCATATTTCGTGGACCACCTGTCGGACAATTTGCGAAGTTTTTTGCCGCTCGCACAGTGTAAAACTAACGCTAAATGCACCACAAAACTTGCAGTGGTGGGCGCTAATGCATTCTGATGGTACAAACCGACTGACGCACCGGACAACTCAACGCACACAGTTTGTGCCCATTAATTTGAGAACTAGATAGCCTGTTTTGCTAAAGCACTGCGTGTTGTAGAGCATAGCCTGTTCGTGCAGGTGAAGCCTGCCACGGGCCAGGTGCTGGGAGATGCCTGCAGGATCGGTACCCGGCGCATTAGCGCTCTGTCAGACGCGGGAATGAACGATGGTCACCAAGTTGCGCAAGCTTATCAGAGTTTATTACTTTGATCTTGGCTTATTTATTTTTCACAGGACGAGTGCCCCCGGTCTTTTGTAGATGACAAATGCGCAGCCAAATGTTCAAAGTATCCAGTCGTCCCCAGTGATAGCTAAAGATGTCTTGACACCCTCAAAAGATGGAACAGTTCTAGTTTGTGTACGCACGAGCAAGGCCGATGTTGACTGAAGCGACTTCAAAGAAGACTGATAATTTTAGTTAGGAGGTTTATAATATAATTACTGAAAATATTTCAACTTTCTGAGGGTGCTTAAATCTTGTCAAAAACAATCGGATTAGTCAAAAACTTACCCTACTTAGAGAAGCTGTTGCGAATCTTCTGGTCACGAGTTTACATGCGCATGGATCCAAGCGTGTGTCCTAACCCACATGAAGTTGTTGTGCCGAAGAAACATTAGTTCTCACTCCACCCTAGTGCATGGCTTGCGCATGAACGTACTTATCGTTTCCACCAGTTTTTATATAATGGCCTGCAATAATCAGTGCTCAGGCTGATGCACTTTAGTATGGGGTAAATGCGCTCCGGTGAAATGACACGTGGGCCTTATGGCCAAGTGCCGACTTGAAATAAGTGCGCGTGCTGTTCCCATCCCATCATCTCAAAACTTGCAGATAAGAATTCCTCAACATTTACAAGGTATGTTAAAGAGAGTGCACGCCTACCCCCACAAGCTCCTGTCAAAAACTATGTGCAATTTGCCTGAGGTGTTTAGCTGATTTCCCCTGGACAATGGGTAACCTCACGTTCGAAGCCTGCAATGACAAATCAATGTGCAGCGGGGGCTATTCGGACACGAATTCGGTCACGCGGCTGGTAATAGCCGCGTCGTTTGGACGACAATCGCATGTCGCTGCACCGCACTGGTGCGTGCTAAACGTATGACACCACCACGACGACGTCCGCCAACAGCTGACGTCGGCGCGGTGGCCACACAAAGGAAGGGCGCTCAACGCCGGCGGCTGCACACTGTGCCGCCATATTGCCTGTAGAATGACAGTACTTTTAGGGGCAAACGTCGCCTAAGGAAGGTTGCAATGCCTGCCAAATGCAGAATGCTGTCTTTATCTTATCAGGAAGTCATATAGTTCGGCCGTATGTGACGAGTTGGGAATGAATGGTGTCATAGGTATTATTCGCCAAGCCGTAAGCACGCTTAGTCTCTATATGTAGTCTCCAACAAACTAAATTTCCCCGTCTTGAATCAATTTCTGTGCGCTTAATATGCCAGTGGCGTAGCAAAATCTTCGTCGAGAAGGAGATTAAATCAGATCACAGGGAGCCCATTTCGCCGAGGACGCTCTTCGTTACTATAGAGGCACTGCAGTTCTAATGCAGAGAGCCATTTAGGGCTGAAATGCTGCACTGATGTCTGTGAGGTCTTTGAAGCCTATGTTTGGGAGGCCTTTCGAGGGCTTCCAAGTAATTTTGGCAGGGTCCCTGCCACCTCCAGATGGCGGGGGGGGGGGGGGGGGCATATGATCCCGCGGTCACCCACTCGGCTACAGCTCTGGAAAGTGTCTGGGCTCCTGCGAAAATCCTTAATGATATTGTTGAAGGTAGCGTTGAATAACTGGATGACTGGCTAGCTGGAAAACTCTAGAACCCCTTCGTCCTGGCCTAATTATTCTGCTCTTCGTCATTCGGCGTCTATTACATGAATACAAATCAGCAAGAATAACACGATATCGCATTGTTCATCAGGCATGATCACCATCCTAAGAATGGCACAGGAAAAGAAAGGAGAGATTCAGAAAGGAAAAGAAAGAAAAAGATTCAGCGTATCTATCCGACCTTTGCCACTCACTGACACAGCCTCTGTGTCGGCGGCTGACAGGTTCCCCTCCAGCTTGACGCCGGCACTGCCATCTAGTGATGACATAGTTGTTACATGGAGTGTTCGTGCGATAAATGCGCAGTGAAGGTTACGTGACTGGGTAAACCAGCTGTCAACGGCAGTGGCAAGCTTCGGACGGTGTTTTTTTATTTTATGGCAAGTATATGTTACTTTATAGCAAGGGCTTTGGAAAGTTTTCGGCCAGCCCCGTCAATTCATCTGCGCAAAATGCCGCAGTGCAGTTGGTTGGTGAACGGTAAGTTTGGGTGACTGTTGAACAAATTGTCACCAAACGGCGTTTCGACGGTCCGGCTCTTGGCATCACACAGGGGTTCGTAGCAACGCAGGCGCACCCTTCGGTGCGTCTCGCCTCTTATCTGCAAAATGTCGCACCAGATATGACACACGACCTTCTTGGTCGCACATTGGTGACCTATAACACCGACCTCACAGGTAGTGCATGATCGGTATCCAGCTGGACAGCGAGGTCACTCTTGCGCAGAACAGACGAGATAAGTCTTCTAGGTGTTCCTGTTGGTTCACGCGGTTCCAATTCTGATCCCGACCGAGCTGTTGTTAATCCATGCGGTTCGAATCCGGATCCCGACTCAGCTCCTGTTGGTCTGTGCGGTTCGGATTCGGGTTCCGGCCGGGCTCCTGTTGGTCCGCGCGGTTCGGATTCGGACCCCGGCTGAGCTTCTGTTGGTCCGTGCAGTTCGGATTCGGGTTCCGGTTGGGCTCCTGTTGGTCCGTGCGGTTCGGAATCGGATCTCGGCTGAGCTCCAGCCTCACGCACCGCTTTCACTAGCTGGTCATCACTAGAGGAAGTGTCACATTTGCGGTACTCTTCTGGTCTCTGTGGGATGGCTATTGGGCCTCCCTGTCACATTGGCGTCGTACTGCTTAATTGGTGAGTCATGTGATCAGATTCATGGGTTAGCCGTTTTCTTTTGAAGATATTCCGCATTTCGAGGGGAGATATTTGTTGCACCAGCCCGCCCGATGACGCTCCGACGGCTAACAGAAGCTGCGAGTTTAATGCGACCTTGTTAGGCGGGCTGCGCTGATGTATCACGCAGTAAAATAGTATCGAACTGATCAGATATTCGAATACAAATCAAATGGTGCCCTGTTTTATGTTTTTATGTTTATAAGGTCGAGGTACACATCCAAGGACTGTCTGCCATCAATCCAAATCCAGATGTTCAATACATCGTCTACATAACGAGTGTAGATGGCTGAGTGTGTTGCCATGAATAGGCAGAGGCTCTCCAGCACATTTTCAGCATATTATGGCCAGCGGTGACGCCACCATACTTTCCATAGCAAATCTGGTACGCTGGTGCTAAAATTCGGCCAAACCAAAACAATGGTTGTTGGTAAGGCAGTAACGAAGGATCACCTCAATGTCCTGGATCGTAAGACCAAACATATCGACAGACTTTTTGCCAGCGGTCATGAGGTCTACAGTTGACTTCATGGTCTCGCCTATTCGGAAGTTTTTGTGCAACGGAAGTTTTAGGCAACATCACCGCTTAAATGGATGGCCGCCTGGGATAAGTTTCTGGGATACGCCGATGGGAGCAGGCTGGTGCGAGACGAGCCGAAATGTAGTATCTTTCTGTGTCGCCTCCCTTTTCCTCTTCTCCTCTATCTGATCTCAATCCACCTGATAACGAGAAAACGGCAAAAAATCGCATCGCAACTCTTTTTTTCTGCTCCTCCTTCATCCACCTGCGATGCAATGCGAGTCTCAAGTGCAGGTCTCCAACAGCAAACAGTTCAGTGAAAAACATTCCCTCAGCGTGGTATTCTACAAAGTTTTGACGGCTTTAAAAGAGGCGCATATGCGTCAAAATATTATGAAAAGTCTGTCGAGGCGAGAAATTAATGAATGAGTAACCGTCCCAGTTCTTTGTTGGTTTTCAGAGTCAGTGTTACACATTTCATTGGATTTGAAGCTGAAACAGCCACATTGAAGATCATTTGGTGCAGTTCACAGACCTACCCTTCTTAAGTTCTAAGGCACTTTAACTTCTGTGTTACACGGCCGCGAAGATGTGCATATTATTTCGGAGAGATTATTTTAAGGCCACCCAGGCACCCATGACGCCACAATAATGCCATTCAAATCGCGCCATTTCATTAGTCATGCGGTGATCAAGTCCAAGAAGAACTGCCGATAAGTTCATATCTTCCGTTGGTGAGCACGATTTCCAGATATCGTGGTCGTCAACTGGCTATCAATCAGTGTTGTGAAAGGTGTGATGATGAAATCAAACAATGATGTATTGAGAAACACATTAACTTAACAGAAAAACTGTGCTGTCTAGAGCGGTCTTCTCCACCAAAAACTATATCAATAGTTATGAGCAAGCTTAATTAACTATGTGTGATGCTTGCAACAATATGTTCAAATGTGGAACATTTCCTTTAATGCATATACGACAACACATAATCACCTAATTTGAGAATAACCACTAACGAGAAGAAGAAAAAAGCCGAAGCAGCAAGTCGTATGGGACGGAAGTCAGTTGTATGCATGGAAATATAACATGTACTTTTTCATGTTGAGTATAAGTGTACGGCACAAAGTGATCTAGAATAAAGTGTAAGATGAATGTAAAATAGGCAATGACAAGAACTTGAATGATGTGTAATCTCCAAAACCTCTTCGTGTGATATGATGCGTCGATAAGTCAATAAGGGTACGGTCATGTTTTTATGCACACAAAAGTGTTACTGTTGTAGACGATTTATTTTGGGGAATCGCTCCCATCTGTTGTTGGTGGGGCAAATGGAATACGTGATGCATGGATAGTAGTACTTTGACTTCTACAACGTTTACGACACTATTGCTAGTGAACAGATTCCATCATCGATATGATTTAACACGACATGCAGACTGCAATCGTAATAATAAGCACGTGTTCGTCCTGTGCCGCTATAAATCAGATAGGCTACTAAACTTTACTCCAGCGCTTCTCGCTATCGGCCATGCATCTCGCATCTCGCTCCGGTTGGGGTCCATGTGCTCGACTTTGCAGTGCACAATGAATATTGAATGTTAAAATACGATTTAATATGATATCTAATGAGAGAAAACATAACACAATCATAATTTCAAGCTGTGCGCCAGCATTGGTGCGCGGATGTACGTTGTAATGCATGAATTGTTTATACTGATATACGGATAACCGGAGAGCCAAGACGCGCGTTTTTGAAAGAGCGCATCATGGCGATACGATCGGTCGGCTCTAAAACACGAAGTAACACGATGATTAGTTATTACAGATCCAAGCAAATTGATGGTCTTCCGTCCAAGCACTAAACGAATCAAGTTCAACACCTCGCGGCATTTCAAGAGCCGATACTTTTCAGCAAGCCACGATCAAGATTGGTCTTCAGTTCATATGCGCGGTACTGGAAGCGTGCACACGTACGTACCAGACAGCGTGCACCCTCCATCGGAGGCACCTGACCTCGGAATGGGTATCCGTCGTCCTCTTTGAGTACGCCGTACGCCCGTGAGATGATCATGTTCTTGTCGGAAAGCAGCGGGATGTTCATAGGGCCCAGGCCACCCTCCTTGCGGGGCGTGTTGACCCAGGCCAGATGGCAGAAGTGCGAGTCGGTCGAGCACGCTATCACCTGCGGGCGGGGCGTGGAGCAAGCGGCTAGGCGGGCACGGCGGCAGCCACGAGAAAACTAGATGAACACAACCGACTAAATTTCGTGTTATTGAAAGATGCTCATCATGTGGCTGATTGCCGGCGGTCTGGGGCGTGTGAGGTGTTCATTGTAACAGCTACACCACAACGACTTTTTAAAATCTGCGGCCGCCTCTGTCACCGGAAGCTGCCAACTGCTGATGCGAAGGTCGCGTGCGTGAACTTGTGGGTGGTGACGTGAGGGTGGATAGGGTCAGGTGATGGGTCCCCTGCTGGCATCGGATGTGAATGTAAGTTATAGCCCGGTGATGTTTGGTTACAACTTGTTCCAGCCTAACTGTGCTAAGTCTTATAATCTGCAATTCAGCCCAGTCGTTTCGATTACTCTGCTGCTTTGCTAGGCGTAGAGGAGAAACTGAATTCTGGAACAAGTTACAACACGGTCGATAAAGCGAATGCCATTGAAACAAGGATTAAAAAGTAAGCGGATGACAATTATGACATACATTCAGCGGACCGTTCCGACTCAAGACATCCCACGCCCTCAAAGGACATTGGAAATCCTCTCATCTGTCTATTGAAATAATACTGGTGACCTAAGCGCTCCCGGCAGCTTGCGTAAAACAATGTCAGTCAGCTGTTGTATTTGGTCATTCAATTCGGAATGCCCGGAAACAGCCGCACCCAAACGTAAATAAAACGTCAGCTGACTAGCTCCAATTACAGCTGTCGCAAATGCAAGGTCATTTATTTCAAAAATGATATCCTACTTCATTCAAGATTTATGAATTCTGCCAACCATAACTTTCTCAAATTAGTGCCATTTTCTATAGGCTCCTTAATTCCAGAATGGATATTCGAACAACGTCAGCTGGCTTAGGGCGAATGCAAACAAAACGTCAACTGACAAGATCAAGTGATGTCGGTGCCATAATTTCAAAATAAATGTCCGACGCACTTTTATACTGTGTGCCTAAATTTGCCAATCTGATTTTTCTTCAAGTGATAACATTTCCTGTAGCCCAGTTAAAGCACCATAGCTGATATTTTCAAATTCGCTAGTTCGTTCGCCAGCTCTGGAAAACCCCTTCCTACACGGTTTGTATTGTAGCTTTAGCTCGGCTTTGACTAGTGTTTCTATTATCTTGTCGGCAACTTTATTTGCCTGTCCACCCCAGGCTAATGTTTCCAATAATTATCCACGCAAGTTAACAGATAGCTGCAAAAACAGCGTTGGTTCAGTTGGCTAAATGGTAAGCGGCCAAATGTCAGAGGCGGTGCATCTGATGGCTTTTTGTCGCATTTTAATTGATAAACACACCTGTCTGTACATAATTAACCAAACCAGCGAACGCTTTGAGGTTGCGATGAGTTGGGCGGACATGCGATGCGGTAATGAACGGCCCATTTATAAGTGTTTTGCTCCTGGTAATTTAATTCCTGTAAAATCATCGCTTACTGATGCCGCGGGACTTCGCATGTGTCCAGGGTGTACCTATTTATGCAAGGTGCTACTTTTGAGGGTTATGAGCTAAAAAAGGAAATGGCAGCCACATTTTCGATCCTAGTTTTTATTATTTTGTTTTGAGTGCGGTTGTTCGTAATAAAAACGTTGCTATCTTCTGGTATCAATATGCGTTTCATGGATGTTGATCAGGTTTTTACCAGTGAATGTTTATGGAGGGCTAATTATCACACAAGACTATTTCTTGGTTTGAGAAAAATCCATGAGCTTTTATAGAGGAAAACATTTGTTTTTGGAAGACCATCAAACAATGTTTACAATTATGTAGCTGGAACAAACATGAGATGTGCATTCTGGAAATAAAGTGCCCATCGTTAACAGGCAGATGGTGGAAAGCAATTATCCTCAAATTGCATGCTCTTTCACATAGTTGCTTCATTACTATATCTATTTTATAATGGCACAATCGTTTTACTGACTGAAATGCAAATGCGGCAAGAAACCTTCAACCTGATGACTAAGATACCAATCAATCAGCTAACAGTTAAGCACTGATAAAGTTAATTAACTGCAGGCGCAGACCTCGCAGTTGATCTCGCGGAACTTGCAGGCGGCGTCGCTGAAGGCCACGATCTCAGTGGGGCACACGAAGGTGAAGTCGAGCGGGTAGAAGAAGAGCACCAGGTAGCGGCCTCGGTAGTCGTGCAGAGAGATCTCCCGGAACACGCCGTTCTCTGCCGCCTGGCTCCGAAAGAAAGGTGCCGGCTGCTGCAGCTGCGGGTACGGCATGGTCCGACCCTGAAATGCGGCACACGATCGGCTGAGTCTAGGTACCACTGATGCGCGCGTGCTTACATAAGAGTCCTCTCCCAAAGTTTAGATGGCCGTGTGCATGATTCAATTAGATCACTCGCCAGAAGCTCCACTCCTTTAAAATCATCGCGTGCACACTAGAAACCTTCACGGGGTGAGTAAACTCATGGGCCACATATATGTCGGGTTGAAGGACTGGCTTGGGTAGATATTATGTTTGAGACCAGTTGTGGGCATCGATAGTGGAAAGGCATTTGAATAGACTGCAAACAATTCGAAGAAATATCAAAATGTTGATTTTTCATGTTGCCTGCCATAATTAGCTGCTTTTGGAATAATCAAAGCAATAATAAGAATCAAGATATGAAGCTTGCTCAGCCTCATTCGTAATCCTTGACAAACCAATCAAAACCCATTTAACCATTGTATATTAGATGGGTAAGACTGTTCCCGAATGGGTGGCGGTCGGGTATGGCAAGGACCCCAAGGGTAAAGGGGATCGTGTGAAGAAAACCTGTAGTGAGGGCCTGTAACGCCCACCACATATGTGTGAAGTTGTATCTACGAGTCTTGCTGTGAGACGAGCATGGGTGATAGCAAAAGGGCTGTTGTTGGTTTGTTTTGTTTTTGGTGATGCGAATGATACATGAACATATTGGGATGAGACACTTGCTCTTTGGAAATCTACAAGGATGGGGATCCTTGGGCATCCAATGCATAACACTTACGCACTACACTGTTCTACTTTATTTAGTTTGGCAGGTGGAGTTACGTTAAGGTTTTGCGCCTCCGTAAACATGTAAAATGATATTGTTGGACTCATAATCACTACATCGGAAACAGCTGTGATTCGGAGTGTCTTCGTTCAAAGGCGGATGGTGCGAGGCACACTTACATACATGTATACATGGGTTAAGCTTAACTTAAACATGTACGATGCCAATACAACAGGTGTTGATCGCGGCCAATGAGAGACTCGGTCATCGCCCGATGACGCCGGAACGATCTTCCCCGGCTTCGCCTGGTAATAAAACCTCTGGTGTGATCAGCAGAGTGGTAACGTTTACCAGCTGCCGCCGCCCCAGGTCGGGTCCTGCGTCTGCTCAGATTCAGCCATGACTGCTCCAGGCGCCTGCTGCGCCTCTCTTCAGCAGCGCGTCGCTTCGCAAGACCACCGCAAAAGCTGCTATCGAGCGCGACGGAAACTTCTGGACGCACGCCGCCGACGACACGCGGCGCACAGCGGTAGCAGAAACAAATAAAAGGGGAACACCATCTGCCTCGGTATGGGGCTCCAAGTCGCATGCGAAGCGGCGGGAACAACTGAGCAGGATTATTACATCGCGTAACCAAGATCTTCAAGGTGTGGGCGCGGACATATATCCTTGCACGCTTGCCAACACATGACTGCGCGTTGCATACCACGACGTGGAGCTCTGTCTCTAGTATCAAACAAATGTATTAAGATGTTGCAGCGACGCCCTGCGGAGGGGGAAATGCAGGAGGGCAAGAGGGCAGGTTGCCCTCAGTCTTCGAAGCATGACTTTTCCAGATATGAGTTTTCGTTTGTCTTCATTTCTACTACTTCCCATTTTCTTATCCGCATTCCCTCAAAATTGGCAAAACTTCCCAAAAAAGGTCTCTCCTAACCGAGACATGAAGTACCGCCGTGGCTGATTCATATGCGTGTTAAAAGTAGTGGAACTACGGAAATCCTTTGTAAAGATACCCTTTACTCCAGGCAGTGGTTAAGTACACCATAACAAGAACTGGCAGGCATCATGTGCATGCTAGACATCTGATTTATTCTAGAATCAGATCATGCCCGCCATGGAATCAGTTCATGCCTACAATAGAATCGGATTATGCCTGCTAGACATTTGATAGACATCGCCATGCGTTTGCTAGGCATATTCATGTGCTGCTTTTGAAAGTGATCCAGCCTTCTACATCTTTAGAAATCCATTGGCATGTTCGTGCCTGTTACCGAATTTATGGGCGGCGTTTGACCGAGGCAGAGTGTCCAGCGTGTTTTCCAGGATGTAGGGACCAAGAACGGGTAATCTCATCAAGCTGCATAGTCCTGCACAGTACTAGCCATGTAAGTGCGTCCTTTTTCTTAACTGAGTCACTTAACCTGCGCAAGGAATGCATTGAGAAAAGCCCTAAAGCTCAAACATCTAGGATCCATCATTTGATTCAGCGGTGCCGCCCATGGGCGTCCTGGAGGGTCTCTGTTTTTGTGGCGCTGGTAAACGTCAAGGTGCTGCACACTCTGGGATGAGCGGGTAGCAGCGGGTGGGTGGCGGTGGCATACAAGTACCGCTGGAAAGGACCGATTTTGTCGGCATTGTCGCAGAAGCCCGTCCACTATGTGTCAGGCCCCAGCGCCAGCGTGAGCCGACGAGAGTGGCAAAACACCTATCTAACGAGCAAGAATCGCAGGATGGGACAGCCTCAAGCAACAGAGCCGACGAAATCCGTCCCGCAAAGGGAACTAGTAACTAGGGCTATTATCGCGTCACAGAAAGCTCAGAATCCCGAACTTCAGTTCCACGTTACACAATAAAAGCTTATATATATATATATATATATATATATATATATATATATATACAAAAAAGCTCAGCTTCGGGTTTGAGCATGTAATGCAGCCAATCATGGTGCTTGATGTGCTTAAAAGCGGGCGGATATGCTCAAAAACAAAGCTCATCCGCTCCGGAGCAAAAGTAAAACAATATGCATGCGTACGGAGGATCATAGACATGTTCGTGTTTTGCCTGATGTTCCATACGGTCGAGTGAATAGTGACCATCAGCTTTCGTCCTGTTTTAGAATGACATAATAGGGAAAAGTGCTTTCAAATCCCTATAAGTATGCACATGAAAACACATCATGCTCTCAAAGTTTTGTCACATTGCATTGAATGGAACAACGTTTCTCACGAGTTAAAACGTCAATTTGGATGAGTCCCCTACACGAGTCTCCGTCCCCACCCCGTATGCGCTCCAGGGTCAGTGTGAAAGTGGACGGGTAGAACTGTGTGTTTTTTTTAGAGCCTGCTGGCTGTGCTCGTGCTGCTCAGGGATTTGATGTGCGACAGCGTGCGATAGCGCACGTCCCGGATGTGCGACAGCGTGTGATGGCAGGCCGTCGCACGCTTCAGCCGCCGCGTGGCCGTCGCGGGTGCGGCGGATGATGCTGATGGGCGGCTGCGGCGCCAAAACCTCGCCGCCGAGGTGCCGCTGCCGCCGTGCGCTGTGCCGAACCATACGAGTGTAGCCACCGGGAGCGTGCCGACTGACCTCCGCGATCTCGCTCCCCTGCGAGGACACTGGCGAACAGGTGACGTCGGCGTCGGGCCGAAGTGATGGTGACGTCACCCGAGACATCACCGGCATCATTGGCGTGGTCAGCGGGGCCGGCGGCGGTGGTGACCTGGAGTCTAAGGTGAGCTGCGCGTCCGACGTGACCCGGTCTCGCCCGCGAGCAGTGCGCGGTCCGCCGAGATTCCGCAGGTCGTCTGGTTTCCAGCCGACAGCGGCCGAGTCCGATTCGAGAGCCGACGAGCGGCTGCCCCCGGCTCTGCTCACCGAGCCGCAGCTGCCCATGGTGACATGATCCGGGGGGCTTGGCGGCTGGTGACCTGGCGTTTCGGTCGCTGCACCTCTGGCGAGTGGCGTCACGCCCACGCCGCCCTGGCTCCCGCCCTGCGCCCGTGCAGGCGGCGCCAGCGGTGTACATGAAGTTAGAGGTAAAACACGGCACGATATGTGATGGGCGCGCTTATGCGCAGCTCAGAGTTTTTGGAATATTCTAAGAAATATTATGAACACAGGTGTATGACAATAAATCGTCAAGGTGCAAGCCTTGCATTTCAGATTTGGCTGGATGTAACGGCCAGCAGATGACGGGATAACGGCAACGGCCAAAGAGTTCGTCTTAAGATATTTTGGAAGGTTACCAGGCAAAGGTATCTTTGGAAGCTGTTAAAAAAGCTGCCAATGGGGAGCATCGTAAATGTTGCAAAGTTCATGCATCGCTGAGCTCATGACGGCCCTCTGAGTTTTTGAACTTTTCAGACGCTTCGGTTTAAACGTATTTTGAGCCGTGAGCTCTCGACAAAATATAACCTAATCCTATCTCACCCATCTGGCGTTTTCAACATTCTTAAGTGAGAAGCGCAGAGGTTCGGTGCAAACGTAAACACGGCGACATGTCTCTAAATGTTTGTAGTTTTTGTATAAAATTCCACAGATAAGTAAGGCTTTACCCTGATTTCGCGGTCACCGATGATTAAGGTTTTGTGATCGCTGAAAAGTTATTAGAATTACATATACAACATATTTTTGAGTAGGCGGTGGTTCTTATCGTTTTTTGATTGTGCATGTTCGTTTTGGTGACCAAGTGTCAAATATTATTTACTGATTTTGTATCTGTTACCACCACATTTGCTTTTGATAATTCATAAGATTGCTCTGATATTAACATTGGTCATTTTTGGTCGAGGTAAAAAGCAATACAAATATCTTCATCTTATGCAATTCATTTCTGGGCTCCTAGCAAGTCCATGCTAAAGTGAAACAAATGCATGATCATGTTTTTATATTTTATCTTCGGCTTGCGGAAAACAGTTGTGAAGCTCAGCCACGGGGTTGATGGAAACATTCTGCCTTAAACCTTGGCCTTTTCCTGAGCATCGGCTTCTTTATTTTGCTGCTTGTGAGTAACGGAAATGCATGGTGCTTCCCCATCTTTAGCTTTGGTTACGCAGGGATCATATGACAGAAAGAAATGAAAAGTTAAAACATAATCCTCCCATGTGTTCTGAACCACTCGCTTAGTTTTCTTTCTTTCTTGTTATTCACAGGAGCACAATGTATAAGGCTGGGAGGGCTCATTGTCGAACACGTGAAACTTGCTTGGGAGAGCGGGGGTGACAGTGGCTCCTCAAATGAAAACGGTCGCAGCACTCGTGTGTATAGCGTCACAATCAAGAGCAATTCGAGCCTTCCGGCGCTTCCAGCCACACGCTCCGGAAATAAAGAACTGGATCGCATTGGCCCAGCCCGGGCCGATCCGAGACTGACCAAAAATAGATTTACCGCGAACCCATTCAATGCCACTTGTGCTGAATCAGATTTCAATCGAAATGCGTTATGAATAATTTCAATTGATGTATTCATATCACACAGGGGAATGCAAGCGTTCTTAGATATATATCGATGCACTGCAATGGTGCAATTATATACAGATCCGCCGATTATTCGATGCTTTCGCGATGCAAGTTTGAACATCAGTCATATTCTATCACAATTTATTATTTAAATTATCTGAACCAAAACGTGGCCTCCGTCAGCGGGCTCGAGGCTACGTTTAATTTCCCGGATATTTCCTTCAGCAGACGTCCTGCATCGGTAGGCTGCAACTGGTGAGCCACCACGGTACTATGAGTCATCGCTCTAAGCTTGTGGCACACCTGCGGTTGCAGCAAAAGTGATATGTTTACAAAAGCTCGGTAAGGAGGATTACTGTATCCGCCGCCACCTTCTTTAATACCAGCATGGGGCTTAATGCGGTTGACTAACATTCGCATTTGATGCTCAAACATGCTCTCCGTCGTTAGCACAAGCAGTGTCAAGGGAGTTTTAGGTCATGTTGAGCCGCTTCACGAATGGCTGCACCACCGGTGCTGTCGCATGTGCGCTTTCTATGAGCGTTAAAAGTTAACCTCATTGGCAGTGTAGTTTGTATTTTACATGATGGTTTCACAACTTGACAAAGCAAGGGCTTCGAATGCGCTAATATTTTTATGACAGGCACTTAAGTCCGCATTTCTACATCCAGCTGTACGTCACACACCTACATTCATGCACACCCATGCACGGATGCAAGTAGCCACGCACACACACACACACTCACACACAACACACCACACACCAAACACACACACACACACAAACAAAACAACACCACACACACACACACACACACCAACAACACAAACACACACACACACACACACACACACACACACCACACAACACCAACCAAACACGACTCATATATAAATATAATATAAAAAAAATAATAAAATATCTCTCTCTCTCCCTCTCTCCTCTCTCTCTTCTCTCTCTCTCTCCTCTCTCTCTCTCTCTCTCTCTCTCTCTCTCTCTCCTCTCTCTCTCTCCACTGCTCACTCTCTCTCTCTCTTCTCTCTCTCTCTCTCCTCTCTCTCTCTCTCTCTCTCTCTCTCTCTCTCTCTCTCTCTCTCTCTCTCTCTCTCTCTCTCTCTCTCTCTCTCTCTCTCTCTCTCTCTCTCTCTCTCTCTCTCTCTCTCTCTCTCTCTCTCTCTCTCTCTCTCTCTCTCTCTCTCTCTCTCTCTCTCTCTCTCTGCGTATAATAAGCTCATGTCATGATGCCATGCAAGGGCAGTATAAACATTCGACCCTGATGGCCAAAGCTACGCCTGGAATGTATATATATATATATATATATATATATATATATATATATATATTCTTCATCACTAATGGCAAGGCTCATGAAGTTGATTACCTTGTGTCCACCAAGGCGTTTCTCACAATCGCACACCATGGCGGTGTTAAGTTATTATCAGTGTATCTCAAATTCGAGCATGTGTATTTCGATTTCACATTTCACTTCACATGTACACAAAAGTACACATACTGTGTATCTTGAAAATGCTCCCATTTTTCCCGCAGCATAATTAGAAGTGGTTCTGAGTTTTCACCGGGGTATGTTTCACTTTTGAAATATGCCCCAAAGGTGGCGTTCTCCTTATAATGAATCGCTGATGCGTGCATCACACCTCCCCAGATTCTCCGATACTGCACAGTTGCAGCATGCACCTATCACCAGGTGAGACCCGCCGTGTTGAAGGGGGCAATAGTAACGGCGTTTTAGACTGCAAAGAATCCAGAAAATCGGCAAGGAGGGACCATCAAGGGCCATGTGGGACCTGGTCCCATAACGGACCATATTGGACCGCTGGGCCACACCTTACACTGACTCCGAAATGAAATATGAACTTTCGAACACTCCGTTTTCAGAGCTGCTCTCGTCACACAATTATTCACAAAATATCGAGGTTCTGAAGGGAGCTATTCTGCCTTTAACGCGGTAGCCATGAACTCGTGACTCCTCGCGAAATATATCAGTGAATGTAAGGTTGTAATGCATTTGAAGAGGTCCATTCATTAACGTGTGGTTATCCTTGAAAAATCACTCGCTCGAAAAATTGGGTTACATTCGTCCGTCTGGGCATTTGGTTACACCGTATCATCGTGAGCTGCAAAACGTTTCGTCCAAATATTTGCGTAAACGGCGAGTCTCTGTGGTGAGCATCAACTGTATGAACTGAACTGCAGCTCAGTGTGAGTCGCCGCCGGACGGGGCCATTGTTGTCGCGCTCAGCCGTGGATGGGGTGAGGCATGACAGGCCCCCTACTTACTTTTGAACTACGGCAGAACATAGAGCTGTAGAAATTGCATATAACAGAGCTTTAGAGCATCGGGACGAAAACCGGTGTGCTGCTCACTTTTTCAGCTGTCTAATTATATCCGTCATTAGTTCCAGGTCATTGGGTAGCCTTTAAGGCGACACAAATCACCTTAGATGTGTCACATCGGAAACGAGACGAAATGTACTTGCTGGATTGTAATTTACAAACTTAAAATAAAGGGAAACTCCCCCATGTTGGCCTTGATCTATGCTGTCTACCGTTTCTAGAAATTCCGCGGTTTTGAGTCTGGGCTAACATATTGACCTCTCAGTTCACGGAAACATTGCCACACCTGATATGCTTATTTGAGTGCACTGGAGTGGAAGTGATGCATACCCCAGCACCGTTTCTTCCCATACTGAAAAAGTTGGATTGACGAGGAAAAGACCGAGGCATGATCATTACCCAAGCTGCGAATTGCAATTGTTTTCTTTTTGGGTCGGTTTGTGACCTCTGAGGTCACGATAGTCGCAGGCGCTGCATTAAAATATGAATGCAGATATTCGTGCTACGATCTTCGGACGGACGTAACTTTTGCTGAACAATGTTTCAATTCCAAACAAGTTCAACCGCACATATTTTATTTTTGACTGGCTAAGGTCAAACCTATTTCTGAAGGTTAAATATCTTTGCCATCTCTCATATGCTACCCACCCATGTTACGGCGACACGACTAAACTCCATTCCGCGCATGATAACTGACTGCTTGAGAATAATATCTGAAAACCATGTGATGAACTGCGTCAGGTGGAACGAGGTCGCAGCTGTGTGCAATGTATGGTAATAAGACATTCGATACAAATGTTGAACGATGAAAAGCAGGGCTGGACAAGTTCAGTGTTAAACAGGAAGCTTCGTACAATTATCCCAGCGTAATGAACACACTCCTTGCAGAGAGGACAATGTCATGTGAATTAGGAAAATATACCTTAACTTTTGACGTCTTTTACACGGAGATGGGTTCTGGTGGGCGCAATCCTTTTGCGTATCCATGCCCCTGGACTACAATAACCTCCCGTGTAAAGCCTTATAAAGATGCAAATGAGCACCCCGTTACTTGAGAAGGAGCAAACCTACCTGTCAGAGACGCCTACTGGCCGGGGAGGTGCTGTCCCACGGCCCGTCGGAGCTGGAGTGAAGCCGCTCGATGGCCGGCAACGTCCCGCGCCACCAGCAGGCCAGATGATCGCTGCGCTAACATTCCGCGCCACCAGCAGGCCAGATGCTCGCTGCGCCAACGTCCTGCGCCACCAGCAGGACAGGCGGTCGCTGCGCCAACATCCCGCGCCACCAGCAGGCCAGGCGGGCGCTGCGCCGGCTCCCCGTGCTACCAGCGAGACAGGCGGTCGCTGCGCCAACGTCCTGCGCCACCAGCAGGACAGGCGGTCGCTGCCCTAACATCCTGCGCCACCAGCAGGACAGGCGGTCGCTGCGCTAACATCCTGCGCCACCAGCAGGACAGGCGGGCGCTGTGCCAACATCCTGCGCCACCAGCAGGCCACGCGGTCGCTGCGCAGACGCCGGAATACCGTTAATGCTGAAAAGGCAGCTATGCACATTATCGTAGCGTAGCGAGTACAGCTCATGCGGAGAGAAAAATAACATAGATAGAGGGCGACTTGCGAGCTTTCTTAGGGCTTAATGAAAGGTACGGAAAGCAAGCTAAACTATCACAATTAATGCCCTCTAGAGATCAGCAGTGTTACTTTAAAATTTGAATATTCAGTAAAATCGGGCATACCGACTTGCCGCCATTTTTTTGCGTTTTTCGAGTTTTTGTGGCGATTATTCTTTTCAAAGACTTAATTCGAGCCGTTTTGAATGGGTGGATTTTTTAGACCAGAGCTCACGCTAGGCAATGCTTGTTATGTGAGCACTGATCGCCACCATCCGATCGCTGTTTTTCTGATCTGATCGCTGATCGATATGACGATGAACAGCTGATCACTGATCGATGTTTTTCGAATTGTGGCACCAAATGAATGGGAAAGCACATCAGTTGGGGATCGACATAACCAATTATCGAGGTGTCGAGTTCATATCTTGTTCCTAGGGGAAGTGAATACATAGACCACTATTTTTTGGCCGAATGCATATCTTAATAACTGTCGCCCCGAGGGATATCAAACCATGTCCGTCGCGGATCATGCCCATCCGGACTCACCCGTTCTCAAGATCGTACCTTGACCTTGAAAGATGGCACGATACTGCATGCGCATTTTTGGCCTCGGAATATTTTGTAAATCGTTGCCCAGTATAAAGATGAAGGCGCTTAGACGCGTATTACCTGAACCACAACATGATTGTCGCAGTACCCCTTATCAAATCGGTTGAATGCATTAACACGCGCCCGGGTGGCCGGCTAGATACCTTTCGCTCGGGTGGAGGGGGTCAATTTGACCCCCTGAGATCTCGGTTCATATAAATTTAGCGTCTCTAGCTCTCTAACTAAGAAAGCTAGAGACACTTAATTTACAGGGTGTGTTGAAATATACGTGAGCTCATTTAGGCCAAAGTTTTAGGGTCCTAGGTCATGATCTTTTGGTCAAAAAAGGTCAAACACGGTCAAGTTCCGGGTTGGTCTCCAAAGTACCCCATAACCTAGATAACCGTTTCTAAGCAAAAGGTTGCATTCTCATTCAAGGTCAGTGAACTTGTTTGAGCTTTTGAAGGTCAAGGTGACCAAAATTATTCAAGATTGCTTTGAGATTTGCATTTGGTTAAGCGACAAAGATTACACTAGGCAGGCTACGCTAGGCTACACTCCTAAAACAAAATGTTGATCTGGGTCATTTTAGGTCAATGACCTATTCTGACCTCGAAGAAGTCCATGGAAGATGTATAATGCGGTTCCTCCTATCAATAAACTCTAAATGAAAACCAGAAACTATTCCATACATCAAGCCCTAGAGTAACAAAACAGGTTGATTTTGACCTTGATGTGACCTTCATACCTGACCTTAGGCCAATATAATTTGTTCATTCAACTGCTGTGTTGCCTAGAAAAGCTTCTCAGAGATGTATGGCTTCGTCTAACACTCCGTTGTTGGATCAGATTGAATGATTCCCTAGAAATTGCCTTCGCTGAAACCATGGCCTGACTTTAACCTGCCATAGGTCAGCGACCGTACCAGGTACATCTAAATTTTTTATGCCAAACGATCCACTATTCGATTGTCTACAGCTATACAAAATTTGGCGCGGCTACCCCGCACCGTTCGGAAACCACTCTGGAAAAATCTTCGGGGGGGGGGGGCAATTGACCTCCACCCGAGCGCGTGTTAATATGTGCGTACATGAATGCTATGGGAGACTTAAAATGCAAAAACACGTGTAAAACTCCACAAATAGAGAACATGTGATGCTGTGTGCAATGCAGTCAATTTCGCATCTACGGGCGCTAAGCTTGGTTGCTAGCAAAAAATTGAGTTGTGTCTCCCACACAAAGAAGAACTCACGAACAGGCCTTTCGTTTGGATACTTATTTTTGACGTCTAGACTGGTTAAGGTAACTGACACACTTTTGGCCCATCATCGTAGATAGGGTCTTACATACGCAATGCAAGCATACTTATGGCATGCTATCTGTAAATTTGGGGACATGCTAACACGTTCTGCGGGCCATTCAAGCTACATACAGTCTCAGTCCAAGTTTGTAAGGAGATTTTGCCACGTACTCGCCTGCAAAAGTATACAGTAGTAATATGGATATGCATAAGATGCATAGTATAATCATGTATCAATAATATGCATAAGCCGTAATATGTTTGACTGAATTGTGCCGGTACCTCTGAAAGTCCTGATACTTTGTTATTATTCACGACAAACTTGGACATTAACAGATCACATCATTCATGCCCAAGTCAAAAGTTCGACATTATTGAATTCAGAATAACCATTGACCTGACGCCTGATGTCAAAATCACAGGCCTTGCAAAGCTTCTCACTGCGAAATGAAACGCAGGTTATTGTGCATGAAATGGAAACTTGAAGAACCGGCCATCAAAATTTTAAAATTCCCATCATCTTAACTTAGCGCGTATCAGCGTAGCATATCAACACATCCGAATTGTGAATCAGCTCCCTCCTGCGTTATGTTTGATAAACATTGCAGCCTTGACATCCAGCGCTGATCACAAGCACTTTCTGTGCATTACTCAATGCCAGTAAACCAGTGGCCATCATTGGGATCCGTTCACTGAAACCAATAGCATATAATTTGAAAATCTCCTCATTGTTCTATAAAAATCCGATTGTCCGTGTATTTCGTGAGTATGAATCACTTTGAGGGCACTCAGATTTTTTCGAGTGACAGAAATAATCGCCATGTCAACTTAACATCAAGTGTATCTGCGCGAGCCTCACAGAAATCTCCAGAAATAATCGTTTGATCATTATAGTTATAGGGGGAAAACACTAGGACCTGGCAGCGGCTGCCATCTAGCGACGTCCACATCCCACTGTGGACTTCATTAGAGACCGATCTCATCCACGTCCTGCGTATTAAAGGTCTTTGAGGAGGCGATTAGTGTAAGACTTCGGTGGTTTCTGGGGACTGAGGGTCTCATGTACATCACGTAACGCGTTCTTTTTTTTAGGGGGGGGGGGGAGTGGGGGGAGGGAATCGATGTGCTTTGGACCATCTAGCTGTTCTGGACACGGCAGTTCAGAAGACATTTAGACAAAACAACAGACAACATATCTCAGCAGTGTTCTAGGTGCCTTTGGCACCAGTTGATGACACGGCATCCTCTCGGAACCTCCTAAGTTTGGCGCACCTATGCGCATAAGCTGGTTTCAGCGACCTGTCGTGACCGCGCATTTAAAGCAAGGTTTGAGAGCACATGCTCGGGAAGATTCCCGCTTCTCAGTGGTGTTTCACCGGGCAGAATTAAGCGTGGCATTATTTGCGGCTATCATGAATGACGTAGAAGACACGTGACCTGGGCACTTGGGGCGTTCGTTATTTGTGAATGATTTTTTAATATGCGCTATGGCACACACCACAACGTCAGCAGTGTGTCAGATCCAGGTCTGTGTGGATACAGTGGCTAAGTGGAGCGCGCCGAACGGTTTTATACTGTCAACCACAAACACGACGTGCATGCACTTCTGAAACAAGACAACTCCTGCAGCGGCTTACGGGTTAAGTTGCGTGGTACAAGTATCCCGGTGGTTGGTAGCTTTACGTTTTTGGGTCTAGTTTCGGACCGACGTTTTTCCAACATTTCAAACACCTTCGTACTAGGCACTGGGAAACTCCCGACGGTCTTCAAGCGTATAATGTTCAACCTTGACTATACTTGCACATTCTACGGGTTGGCCTGCGAGTCCAGTAGGAGAATGCTGGACAGCAATAATCGCATTTCCTATAATCCAAGAAATCTGCATCGTATTTGGCGCTTTAGCACGTCACCCACGGCAAGCCTGCTGGTAGACGCCAAAGAACCACCATCTGGCCGACGCGCCGTTTTTTAGATATGCCTTATGCCATAGGGAAGGGCAGGCAAAACACGACCGCTTTGTGCAAATGTATGTATGCGTAGTATATTCATAATACTAGTGAATAATAGTATATAGTGTACAAAATAAGTGTGCGCTGGTGCCGACTTGCGCCGTGTACAGCACCGGTATCATTCATTTTTGGATCCATAACCGGCTTTACATTTCATGTTTGACACGTTATTCGCCAGGTTCCCGAAATGATTAACGCACGCTGTTGAGCTGAGGTAGGAAGCTCAAAAGCTCTTGTGTGAAACGTCAGACAGTCCGCACACTTGCGCACGGATGAATTCAGAAAGAGGCTGAATTCCGAATACCTATGCATGTCGCCGCCAGGCACTGAGGGGACGGGTTCACTGTTATCGCACTTCATTGTTTTCTGCTGAGCTCTTCATTATCTTGGGATATAAGTGCTGCATTTTATGCCATAGTCCACTGGCGTGCACAGCATTTAGTGACTCGATCAGCCTGGTCTTCCGTGTTCAGAACACATGGCCAGCAGATGCGTATCTAGCACAGCTGACCGTAAGGAAACCAGTTAGTCTCCGGCAGAGGGAGCAACAGGTAGCACTGGTTTGGAGCCCAAGCCACGCCGGTCTAGCCGGGATCGAGTCGGCTGA